TGATTCGTGAAAACGACATTAACTCTCGAAGAGAGTTAATATCTTAAGATAAATTTAAGATAGTTGTAGTTTGTGTTTGATTTATATCATATCGGTATAATGGAAATAAATAATTTTGGGGAACTAAATCTTGAAATAAGAACGTCAGTACGTGATGCGATTATTAATTTGTAATTGCAAGAGTTTGGAACAACCCCAGTCCACTTAAGAGTTAAGAGAACTCTTGGGATTTTCTTTTGTGATTCTAGTGTAACTTTTTATATGTATCTTCAAATTGATTTCAAATCTCGTCAAAATAATGATGACAATCGGGCCTCGTTACAATATTAATGAAATGTCAATATGTTTTATATAATATATTCTTAACTTTATATAATATATATTTTGTATAATATATACTTTATATAATATATTCATAAAATATTCCTATAAATATTTTTCACAGCAGTCGAGCATCAGTAATACATTGGACGAAAAAATTAACCTCTTTGGCGATACATAGACGATATATAGCAACATCGAACGACTAATATTATTTTATTATTATTTTATCTATTATCATTATTTATTCAGTTATTTTAATATTTCAATTTATTAATCGATCATTTGATTCGTCTGTATACATACCTGCTACATACAGCATACCCATAAATATCCTATATAACTATAATCGTAGCTTGATTGTTACCACGAGTTTCGAGTATTGCCACGGTATATAGCTCTGAGTATTGAGATTTCAAGTGTTGTTAGATCTCGTTTGTTTATACTCGGCGAGTTTCGCAATTTCATTTTTCCTTTGGTGCATTACGCGACGATGAGGATCGAGCGACAAAACCCGTCGTTAATGTACCCGTCGTCGTTGACACGGCAAATGTCTGAGCGTCATTTTTAAACGTGCCGAGCAGCCTGATAAAAATTTTTCCGTCGGAGCAGCCGTTTCAGGGGGGGTGGGGGTGGGGGTGACAGTCGTGCATACACAAGCGGCGGAAGCGAATCGCGAAATAAATGATCGGTGACGAAAGACGATAGGGGAGGGTGACGGGGCTGGCTAAAACGGCGGAGATTGATGAACCCAGGGACGTCGTGTATCGCGAACGGATTAAAATACGACGAAAATTTCCGCGTGTTCCGCCGTTCCCGTCGTTTCTTCAGAAAAATATCGTCTCAATTACTTTTTCTCGTTGAAATTTCGCAGATGATCGATGCCCCGGATCGCGCGATATCGTTAGAGGGAAGGGATGGTACTACAACCCCTCTGTTTCACATCTCTTGTAACTAATTTCTTGCTCAAACCGATAAACTAGTAAAGACGAAAGGGAAACGATTTACTTTGAATTTGTTACACGTGTATCGTGGAAACAAAATTATTTTAGAAAATTCAACGAAAGTGAGAGTAACAAATAATTCTTTGGTAACGTCACGTGAATGTGAATCGATACGTAAATTAAATTCTATTCTTTATAAGTAGTATTGTCATTAACTCTAGATATTCTAATTCTAATCTAAATGGGTTAAATCCATATTTCATCGCCAAAAATGACTCGAAGTACAAAGTTTCAAAATTTTTCGTTTTAATAACGCTAATAATTTTCTGTCCAATATAATTATCTAAAATCGACCGAGTTATGGGAACACTCCCTTAACTCACGGCAACTGATTTAGCAAACTGATTTCTTTCTTTTTAGACAGGATGAAAATTCTTGTTTCGCAAGTTGGATTATTTACGCTTATTACCGGCAATAACTGTGCCATATCCCCGTGGAAACATCTTTTGTCTGTGTTAATAAGAGAATAATACGCCGCCATTTACCTCTAAATGTTTTTGTCCGAGACAAAAGAGGGGCCGAATTATGAGCAGGGTGCTATAATGCCACTCACTTCTGTACGTGATTACACGCCAGCTTCCAATACTCCACTACGGGGGCACCCTAATTCCTAAAATGCCTCGCGATTCCCGAAATTCTCTTTTGCACGTTTTATCTGCCCGCCGTCCGAGCGTAATTTCGCCGCACGTGGAACGCGAATATACGTGTTTTTAAATAAACGTGTTATTAATCGTTTTTCGTTCGCGAACAGGCAAAAGGTACAGCGCTGCCATTATAATGAAATAACGAAAATCGAAATAAAACGATAAAATAACACGGGCGTGCACGTTTCTGCATGGACGAACGGTTAACAACCTGTTTTTCCCTTCTTTCTTCGTCGCTCGGTAAAATCTATTAAACGCTTGAAGCTTGAAGCTGGAATCTCAACAGGAGCGGCTTCGAAATTCGGCAATTCCGTTGCTTAAATAAACGTCTCGTCTTGGAAACTGAATTTGGAAATTTTTCGAATCGATCGCAACGCAACAGAGACCACCGTGTAATGTTCGTTAATGAATACCGTGAAAATGTCTGGACCGGTGTGTTTGTGTTACAACAGACGATAAAAAAGATAAAAAAGAAGAAAAAGAAGTTAAGTGAAATACTGTTATGGAAGGAAGGTCTAATGTGCCATAATTATGTAGCATTAGCCGGTTTCATATAACGCACCGTGGCTGCGATTTTTCGTATTTAGAAGACGTTGGCATCCTAGCTCCATCCATAAAATTAGCTGGATCCTTAAAATTCTCTCTGCTTCGAACGACATTCGAAAGAAGGAGAAATAAAGAAAAAGAAAAGATAAACAGTGAGAGAAATCGCTACCGCTCGGAATTAGCAAACATCGGTGACAGATAGTTCCTTCTCGAAAAATCTGGAGAATCGTCGAGTAGAGTTTTATACGGTATTTTCATAGAACGGTACGGGAGTTTGTCGTTAAATATTATTCTACTTGGGGTACCGATAAATCACGACGTGTTCGATATATACACAGACGCTCACGAAAGTATGTATTAAAATATTTATAGAAATTTTCTTACGAATATATGCGTATGAATGTGCTATCGGTGTTGCGTAAATTATAACGAAACATTTTCAAATTTTTATTAACGACTGTCGCAACTGTGTCAGACGAGTTCGAACTTATATAGAATTTGCAAGATATTTATCGCATTGAAGAAGCATTTAAACTCGAGAAGTTTATTTATTTCTATTAACAAATCTTGATATTCATTGTACGCTTAACATGATCACCCATGCTATGTGCTAATTTTTTTACTAAGTACGTGTATGCTTGTAATAAATATTTTGCAGCTTCATTCACTTTCAGATTGGTTTCAAATTTTGTAAATGTAATTATGATAGTCGTGTCCGGTTACAGTGTTAATGAAACTTCGAAATGTTTCACGTGGCGGGCGTAATATGCTGGCGAAACATACCTGTGTACAAGAACATTTTATGAATACGTTACGCGTGTTATACGAAACATTTTGAAATTTCATTAACGCCGCAATGAGAAACGGCTATCGTGATTACATTGGAAATGTGTATATACACGTATATAGAAATTAAAAGATATTCAGTGTATATATTTTGTCAGAATCATCAAAAATAGCGTGTATAATATTTTTAAACGCATGCATGTATGTTTGCAGTAAATATTTCATATAAATACATTTCACAATTGAACAACATGATCATTCACGGTGTTTCATACAACGTGTGTAACGTTCTTTGATATAAACGTTGAAATATATTTTTGCATCTTTGATCAAATGCCGTTTTGTTTCAACAGAGTTTTTCCGATTGGCCGCGCAGCGTCTCGTCAACGCGTCCTTGCGTTTCTCGTATTTCTCGTTTTCGACGGAATTTTTCCTCGATGGCGTGGATCACACCGATAGGCAGATGGATGGAAAAACGGCGTCGAAAAATAGGGGAGGGAATAAGAGAGTGTGGTGAGGCGACGTTGGCAATGTCGGCCAAGGGAACACGGTTAGATGCAATAAGGAAGCGCGTATCTTTCACCGTCTCGGATAGTCGGCACCGACTACTTCTCAGCTACTCGCGTCGAGTTGCTCGCGATGGGTTGCTCGATTCACGTCGACGCGCCACCGAGTAATATGGAATCGATGTCTGTTTTATGAAACGTTTTATCTCGCCGCGCAGCCCGTTTTCCAATATTTCGCCCCTTCCCGTTTTCTTGCTCCGCCACCTTCGCGACCTTTTCCCTCGATCCCTTTCGCTCTTCCTGCACGACCTACTTTCTCTCTTTTTTCTCCTTTTTCTCGTATGTACCGAATACCCTTCTACATTTCTCTCTTTCTTCTTCTTCGTCTTCTTTCACCCTTGCATCCCTTCTATATTTGTCTCTCCTTTTCTCTTTCGCTTTTCTTCTTACGTTCCGAATATCTTTCCCACTTACTCTTCCTTTCTATTTTTTTCTCTTTTTTTTT